CATAACGAAATTCAAACAATAAATACAGTTTTGGCGCTCTTTAATGCGGCAGGCGCGGTCGCTTTAGCGCCTCAGTTCAAGTGACAACCATTTATATCTTTCTTTTTACTACTGTAGTAGGCCTACATAATGAACATGAATTAACAGCAAAATGTAGCCTATTTTATAAGAAAGCCTACAGTACAACTTACTGAAATGTCAGTTTAATTCCCACTTTAAGTGAACCTTAGTTCCCCAGGTCATCTACAAGATTGATTAAAGATCGATTTGCTGATAAATTCAAGAAAAGATGAGACATAATCACATGAAAGTATGATTGAAATGTTAAAAAATAATAATTAAATAAATAAAGCACGTTTATTCTGTGGCACCTAAAAAAAATAATTTGGCGCCTAAAATTTTTTCTTATAGGAGCCAATGGCTCCTTACTCTATTTTTTTGTTTGGAGCCCTGATTGAAGCCCAATGCAGCAAAATCCTAGCAAAAAACAAAAAAGGGCTGAAAGTGCCTGAAATGTTGTCTGTAAAATAAAATGTGTAAATTTTGTTAGTGCAAGTAAAGCTTGTGGCATATTCGGATTTCTCAAGTATTCTCTCATTATTGCTTTTCAGAAATCACTGTTTATGTCATCTCTCTCTCTCTCTCTCTCTCTCTCTCTCTCTCTCTCTCAGTTCAATTCAAGGGTCTCTTGTTTATACGTACGTAATTATAACAAAGTATGGGGGGTATTTTCAATAAATGAGTCAATTTGTTCATGAATAGGCTTTCAGTGAATCAAACACTTATGAATATGATCAACCACGGTGCGCTGAGCTTGAAAGAGCGAGCGAGAAAAGGGGAAAAAAGGGGAGCGCCGTCGTCGGGGAGAGGAATATCCTTTTGCCTGCTCACCGTAGGTCCAGGGCGGTAGAGTCAATGAGCACACGTGGATTAACAGCCCCCTCTCCTCTCCAGCTTTACATAGAGAATAATAGAGGGAAGGATTAGTGAATAAATGAATAGATGAGGAGAAAGATATGGAACCGATAGCCACTCACATGCCACATTCAACCAGAGAAGCGAGAACAATAACGAGCTGCCATGTGTGGATAAATCACAGCTTCAGCCACACTCTGGCTACACAGTCACATCTGTGGGGTATTAAACCCCAAGAACACTTTGTATTCAACAGGAGAAAAGAGAGAAATGTATGGATTATTGAAGCCTTGTAGTGTTTGCGTTGAGGAACTGACTTATCGGTGCTGAAATATCAATTCAGAATGGATAGATTAAATGTACAGTGTAGCATATTAATTATGTATATTAAGTGCAACTTTAACATATGAGTTTGTCAGTAATTTATAGGGTCAGCAGAGGACAGTGTAGGTATATATGTAGATATGAAAAATTCTGCAATATTAGTATGGATTAGTTGAAATTGGATATTTATTTTATTTTATTTAAATGAAGAGTAAATAAATATTGTGCTGTTGTAAATTAATATTGTATACTTTGCTATACTGTAAAAGATATCCTGTTAAATTTACAGTAAAAAATTACAGCTGTGGTTGCCAGAAATTCACTGTAATATGATGACAATGTTACTGGATAGCATATTGGCAATGTTGGAAAAGTTGCTTTGGAAATGTATTTGGTTACATATTACAAGTTGACCTATTTAAAATATAATAAGTAGTTTAACTATTTCAATTACTTTATTAAAGTAATGTAACTGCTTACATTTGATTACTTTTCTAAATTTCAAACAAATGTTTTCCACAAATGTTGTCATTTTGTTATCATTTTAAAATGTTATCATTTTAAAACATTAAAAGCAGGCAGGGTTAACTTTACAGTAGTACTCAACACTGTCAGACTTTCAAAATCCTTCATCACTTGAATTAAGATTATAATATTTAAATTTTAAAGCACAGTCACTACAAAATCAGACTTTGGCACATTGTTTTACTTTGAGATTGTTCTGAGGTTAAATACAGATTTAAAATCATAACTAGAAATAGTTTAATAGCTTTGATACTGTTTTTGAAATCAAACCTTTGCATATAGCTATGACAGGAAACACTGACATCTAACAATGCTTTGGGAAAAATATACATAAACCCAAATAGGAAATAAAACAGTTATTGAATAAGAATGAGTCCTATTCTGTGTCCTAAACATCGTTGTTTCATATTTTAGAGCAGTCGATGCAATTTGGGAAAGAAATCGGTTAAATCTGTATGTGGGTTTGTGTGTGTGTGTGTGTGTGTGTGTGTGAAACTATTCAGATGTAACCCCTTTGTAATTGTTAACATTTTCATAAGTAACTGTAATTTAATTACACATTTTTTCAGTTACATGAATACAGTTACATTTATTTTGTAATTAAATTGTGTAACACTGTTATACTGTATGTAGTTAGTTTCTCCCCAACACTGCATATTAGTGTCTTTATATTTCACAATTTATAATCATATAGGCTAGTTCATTAAGTGATATAATGTTAAAATACCAAGCAACTTAAAGTAGCAAAATGTTTTTACTGTAGCATTTTAACATTTTTAATGTAATATTTACAAACATTTTGTGTGTATTAAAATATGTGTTTAAAAAGTATATATAGATTGAGGCTGTTTTGTGTGTGTGTCTGCTCTTAGAACAGAGGGAGAGAGAAGAACATGAGGAGGGGAGCGAGGAGCGAGAGGAGGGCCAGGACTCTCCCATCCCATCAGGAGATGACATTCATCTCTACGGCAACCAGACACACCAAGGAGGGACAGGTCAGTGAATGTGTGTGTTTGCGAGCGGGTTCAGGGTGGGATGGCAGTTAGACCCAGAGCTGTTGATTAGCTCTGGAGATGCTCAGGTTAGCAGGTCAGTTGTTGCCATGGCAACAGTCTCAGGTGTGCTGTGATTATGTCGCAGACCCCCACCAAACCCACACACGGTGACAGGTCACCTGTTGTCACTCAAAACCACACAAAGTCGTCTTCTTTTCTCTCTGTCCTCAGTCTCTGCAGGAAAATGCAATCAAAGATGACAATTGAAAAATAAAGAAAAAACAGTGGAAACCGTTAACATCTCCATTGTAATTTACTTCTTAGTATATCGTGCATGCAAAAGGCCAAATAGTTTCTTTTAAACCGCTGATAAACATTCTGTTAAGTCTTCAAGGAAGAATGGACATTGTTTTGGAAAACAAATGTTATTGCATTCAACATTTCTCATCATCATTCATCATTGTTTTGTGTCTATAAACTTTACTGTGTATTGATATAACTCTATTTTTAAATCAGACACTAGTAGTTCATGAACCACCAACTGATATTTTATTAGGAAAGTTGCCATTAAAGTTGTCTAAATCCATAATGAAAGTTCACCAGGCAGCACAACGAGAAACGTTTAGCTACAGTATTCAACAAAGGTCAAAATAAATAATGAGAAATAATAATATACTGCAGTCAAAGACACTGAATTACAATTCTCAGAGGACTGAATTAGCAAAAAAAAAAAAACAGGCAATTTGCCTGGTAAGACAGGATAATACCATAATGTGTTTTTGTACAATGCATATTTACCTAACCTTTTCAGGTAAATCAAGTCCTGTCCGAACAAAGCTTTTGTTATCTCTCATAAATCTGTATGTTGGATGTGTGCCACATCTGCAATAAGGTGCGTTTACAAAAACCTGTGTACATAAGTACCAATGAATCATATGCCAATGAATCACATGCTCCAAGGTTAATTGTTGATTCTTGTCCACATCTGGAAAAAAATAAGATCGTCATAATAGCAGCTATTATATTGCTATTATATTGTATAACTTGTTATGCTACAGTATTATGCTGACTGATAAATGACTGCTAATGGATCTAAACATCATAAGTATAATTTGTATTTAAAAAAAAAAGTATAAAAAGTTGACCTGTCTTGATGAACAACGAAAGTGCACTACATCATTACATGGAGTTTAGCTAATCACAAATCATTTACATATAGAAGTTTTATAGATACAGTTGGAAAAGCAGCCTGTTTAATATGGATCAGAAAGAGGATGGAAAATGGCCATGTAAAACAAGAACTGCTTTTGGTGCAAGAAACCTCTAGTAACATTATAATTGGATGTTAAGGGGGGAAAATATGCTACAATATAGCCCCATTTAAAGATTTTTGCTGCATTTACTGTTTTGCATAACTGAAAACATTTGAAACGTATAATATCTTATGGATGATGTAACATATCTATTATTAGGGTTGCTATTTGCCCTAATGCACTGCTGCTGTTGAAAGTGAGCGCAGCTTCAGTAATATCACTAGACAGGTGACCCAGAATTAGACAAGCAAATGTTCTATCTCTGTTTACTCAAATACAGTTAGTTCTGTTTTAAATTCTCTTTTTCTGCGTGAGTGACTCCTGCTGTGCATTTGGTGGGCTCACATTAGGATGAGTGGGGTTTGTTCACACGTTGTCTCATACGGTCTGATGTTCTGTCATCCTCGGCGCACAAGCCGTCAGCACTTGTCTAGATTAAAACCAAATTCCACTCCTCTGACATACTGCTAAGAGTTTGAACTGTGTAGGATGCATGCACGCATGTGTGTGTGTGTGTTTCAATATTTATAAACCAGGGCCTCCAAACATTTTGTTTTAAGTGATAATTCCCATGATTTCAGCAGTTGGCCGAAGCGAACACTCAGCCATGTTATTGAGCAAACTGCTGGGTTTTTAATGCTGTTTGTTTGCTGGGGGCGAGGCAGGGGCGGTGAGAAATAATTACACACTATAAAAATAAAGCAAAACAAATATGACCTAATATGAGATCAAATAATGTCTAAACCACAAATTTTTCTGAAGTCACATAGTCACACACCAGTTATAGAGGGAGGCAGCTTCTTTTTTGCCTCCCTTGAGCCCAATGAGTTCTCATCAACATCCTGTAGCATGGCCTAAATGTGAGGAACGCATTGGCCGATTACTCTTTTACAAATTTGACTGAATCCGTCAGACTGGAGGAAATGGATGGATTGATGTCAGAGTAACAGCTCATCCACTGCCAGGACCAGTGTCTGTTGCATTCTCGTCAAAATGTACTCGAATTTCTTGAAAAACAAGAAATTACCTGTAAGTGAGCCGGTTTTTAGCTACCATGCAGTTTGTTGAAATTAAAAATTCATCACCATGCCCATTTGTTGGAGTAAATGGTACATGGAATGTGTTTGTCATTGTATTATTGAAGACAAAATGTTATGGTGTTTTGTGTTCCACTTAATGTTATTTGTGTTGTGTTTACGGCATTATTTTAGTGTCCTGTGTTACTCTGATGGTGTTTTGTCTTTGTGTGCACTCTAGAGTATTAGCCATGTTTCAAGGACCGGCCACTTGAACTCTGATTATGTGGCTTTCTAATGAACTACCTGTATTATTATAATGGTTATCAGCACATTTTAAAGATAGAAATCCGATTTTGGTAGTCTCAGTTGCTTGGTATTTTAACATTATATCAAGTTTTTATTTATTTATAGTATTTATATATTTATATTAAGAAATTACTTTTATTCAGCACAAATGCATTAAATTGATCAAAGGATTTCTATTTCAAATAAATTCCGTTTTTTAAAACTTTCTATTCATAAAAAAATTGGGTTACACTTTATTTTGATAGTCCACTTTAGACATTCTATTAACTAAGTAACTTTGTAACTACATGTCAACTAATTCTCATTAATTTGCAACTACATGTCTACTAACTCTCAGAGTAGACTGTTAGGGTAGGTTTAGGGTTAGTAGAATAAGTTGACAAAGAAAGTGTTCGAAGATATTAAGCAGACAGTCTACTAATACTCTACTAACTGCTAGTTGACATGTAGTTGCAAAGTTACTTACTGTTAATAGAATGTCTAAAGTGGACTATCGAAATAAAGTGTTACCAAAAATTGTATTATAGTTTCCACAAATACAGTAAGCAGCACAACTCGAATGATTTCTGAAGGATCATATGACACTGAAGACTAGAGTAATGGCTGCTGAAAATTAAGCTTTGCCATAATAGTAATATATTTTATTTTAAAATATATTCAAATAGAAAACAGTTATTTTAAATTCTAATAATATTTCACAATATTATTGCTTTTACTGTAATGTCTTGTCAAATAAATGCAGCCTTGGTGAGCATAAGAGACTCAGAAACATCAAAAATCTTTCTTTCAGAAATGTGAAAATGACCCCAAACTTTTGAACGATAAAGTATATACAACCCTACAAGCATTATTACAGTTTGTATAAGGTAAATTTCCAAATTTTAACCATGAAACTGTAAACTTCAATGGAACATGAATTTACATTAGACTAAATAAGTAAACAGAGAGAGGGTCTTTGGCTCCTCATTTCAGAAGACCACGGGGTTGAACATATACAGTACGTCTGACTATTACCAGCCTCCGGCAAATCATTGATGCTGGTTTGATTGGATGTGGTTTTTATAACTGGCTAATTGCTGAATTCTCTTTGGATTAAGGTTTGCACCAGTGTAGTTGGAGCTCAATTAATGCTGCCTTTTATCTTATGTTAATACAGTGGTTTCGAGTTTTATACCCGACAACTCACTGAGGTTTAATTAGGTGCTTAGATAATGCAGTACATTTCAGTTCTACATGATGTGACCTCAATTGTTAAATGTATATTGCGTACTTGTAAACATCTGAAAAGGCTGATGACAAATGGAAAAGTGAAGGACAGAAGGACGGTAGAGGAGAGAATAAAATATCCGGTTTCACGTGGTGACTGTAAGCCATTAAAAGGTTTGAGGGGTTGTGTAACCTTATTAGTTTAACACATAGACTTACCTCTTATTAAAACCCAAAGTTGTGCTTTTAAAGTGGTGCTTTTATTCTCAATTTTCCCCTTTTAATCCCAAACCCATCTGAGGGACTGTTTAATCTTGGAGCTAAGGCAGCGGAGGAGTCAGCCGCGGGTCGTGGTAATCCTGCCTGAATATCTCTTTCAAGGGGCAGGGCTTCTTGCGGGCCACGCGCACAGGACTGAGAGATCTCTATTTGATAAAGGCTGTCTGCTTTATATAATCTCTATATGGAGGAGGACTTAGCATGCAGCCATCACGTGAGGGTTTCAAGCTCAACCTGCAAACCTGAGGACAATACCAAACATGAATTAAGCACATAAAGGACAGGCAGGGACACGGCAACACATGAGCATACACGAGTACATCCCGTCCCTTCAGAGTTTGGACGATGCTCATGATCCATGGAGTATGCTGTGATGTATTTGGCGGTTACTAATAAACAGTGTTGTGGGAGTGATATTTTGTTTTGTATTCAGGGACTGAACTGTTTCATAGCAGATATTTTGTGATGTTGGGTTAAATTGAGGAGATCACAATAGGGGCTCTCTGATGCAGATGGCTTTTATGTTCACTGTTTTTTTTTAACAATTTATGTCTCAGAGTGTTCTCTTTGAAACTAGTCGTTCTCTTCTTAAAAACTCTAAAAGCTGTTTTATGATGCTTGTTGTTTTGGCACACAGTATTCACCCCTCAGGCCTCCTCTTCTCTCTCATATAGAATCTGATGTCCACGGCTGTGTGCTGCTTAACACGTCTCGAAGGGTGAGACTTTTCATTACATCCACATGCCAAACAGATCTTATAAGATGCATAGTCGCCGTCTGAAGTTATATGCACACCTGTGACTGCACATTAATTGAATTCTGTATTGATACACCATGTCTACATACAGTGGCACCCATGAGTATGAGACCTCTTTTTAAAAATCTGGTATATTTTATTGAAATATGCAAATAAGAATGTTTCAAGATTTTAACATTTTAAAACAAAGCTTATGATATAAAATGATGAAAAAAAATGTACTGGATAACATGATCAATCAGGTTTTCTCTAACATTGTAGCATTCTGAATTCTGCATTCTAAAATTAATTTGACTACTTTTTACTCAAATTATTATCCGTTATTTTAATTCTGCATTCTAAAATTAATTGTACCACTTTTTACTTAAATTATGAACTATTCACTCAAATTGTAATGCTGACAATTTAATTTGTAATGAAAAAAATTTGACAATAATCCAAAATAGAAATAATTTCAGCACAGTATCTGATACATGCAAACTAAACCTAATACACAGTTTCCAATGACTTATTCATGAGTGGTCCCAAGGTCATGGAACGTATGGAAATATCAGGACATTTTTATTTGTTTATTTGTTTTATTTGATTTTTTATTTGTTTTGCATCTGTCCAATTTGAGTGAATCAATCTTTCAAGTTCTTTTTAGTGATTCGGTCAAAGTGAATCAAAATTATTATTGAAAAATAAATAATTTATACTTTTTAATATAAATATGTTAAACAAAAATATATTATTTCATAATTATATATAAATAAAAAATATATAAAAAAAAATTTTAATACCTGTCCAGAATTAACCAATTATGCATCATGGAAAAGTTCAAAAATCATTGTTTAAAAAATAGCAGCTTAATATATGAATCAAAAAATTGTTTATACAGTAAGTTGTTCACTATATAGATTTTTTTTAGCATTGCTTACATGTACCTCTGTGTTGTCCCTCAGTACGTGAAGCTAATGAACTTTGAGGAGGAAGTGCGAGCTCACAGGGATCTGGACGGGTTTCTGGAGAGGGCCAGTATTCTGCTGCACGAGGACGAGGCCTCTCTAGACGATGTGTTAAAGACAATGCTCCGCCACGTCTCACAGGACCCTCACACCGCTGAGCCCAGCTGCAACTTTGAGGAGATCATGAGCTCCCTCTTCACAGACGCAGGGTCACAGGAAGTCAATGGTGAGTGTGTTTGTTTTTATTTGTGTGTTATTTCATGAAAAGCTTATGAAAGGTTGCTCAATACCTCAGAGAGCTGATTTGACTGGCACCTCAAAGGATATAAGCACAGCAGTTTGATGTTAGTCAATGTTATTTTAATTTAAAATGCTTTATAAATTATAATACAGATTTTACATAAAAAAGGGACAGAAGAATGAGTAACAGAGGGAACTGTGCAGAGACAGACAGAAAAAAGAGTTTCAACAATAATTAAGTCCATTTCCATCCCTGCTGACCCCATAGCTTTGAAACTCAGTCTAGGATGTGTCAGAGAGAGGGCTTGCTCTGAATGACCCCATAAAGAGAAGTCAGGTGATAATAACACTCTTCTGTCCAGTCATTCACACATTAGACTCACTGGAATTGTCAAACCTTCCCAGAGGACACACAAGCCTTTATGACAGTGATTAAGTCAAAGAAAATAGAGACGAATCACAAAAGTTAAGGAAGGTGCAGCAAAAGTTAAGGAAGGAGCAGCTGAAAGGAAAATACAATACATATGAAATATAAATGAGCACAAAATGTAGAATTCAAGATTGAGTACATAAGATATTTGAGTCAATAGTTAAAGCTGCAGTCCGTAACTTTTTTTGGTTAAAAATGATCCAAAATCAATATTTGAGCAAGTACAAAACCAGCCAGTGTTCAAAACTATCGCCTTACTTTAGCCCGATTCACAACGGTTAGCTTATAATAATGTTTTCTAATTTGAGTGGTACTGGTAGGTTTTCCCGGGAAATTAGAGCATGGCACTGCGTCATTAGGTGCGGTGACTGACTGCCACACGTACTCTTCAGAACATTAGATTAATCCGAGCTGGAGCCGTGCTGGCGCACAACCCACGCAAGCTAGATAATTCCGCACACAGCTGCAATTCCAGGTTTTCAAACAGAGATGGCGACAAAGAGGCAAAACTTACGGACTGCAGCTTTAAGATACAAGAACCAAATTAAAATTCTTACAAATTATTTAAACTTTATTAGTTGAGTTAATGCTGGAATACACTACATCACTTTTGTACAGATTTTTGGTGCTGTTTGCAGAAAGTCTGCAGATTTTGGTCAGTCAGAGCTGACGGATTTCACAGAAAACCACATAATGTATGATGGGCACAGACTCAGATTTTGTACTACTAGACTAAAGGTGTGTGCACACCAAAAGAGAATTTAATTATTCGCACGAGTAGATTACATACAAAGTCAATGCAAAGATGCGAATAGGCATGAATTTGCACTGGGTGATGCGAATGATGCAAATTAGGCGCCGCGATTGCTGCGAACAAATTTGCATAAACACGTTGTCGTGCAAGCCAGTCAGCGAAGAGCTTATTGACCCGTCCGGTTGTAGGAGAGCATTACGCAATGTTTTTATTTGCACGAGTGACACGAAAAACATCCCACGAGTAATCTAGAGCGATAACTAGAGATGCACCGATTGCAATTTTCTTGGCCGATTCCGATTTTCTTTCTAAGGACTATAATTGACAACATATACAAACAAAAATCTACTTTTCTTCAACGCAAAGTTTTATTTTCATAAAAAAAACAAGTAAAAAGTCAGTAATAAAATAAGAACAAATACAAAAATTGCAAACAACAGCACAAATAAATGCAATAGAATAAAGAGAGCTATGAAACTAAGTTTTTCAGG